CAGGGGCACGAAGCTGAGAAACGAGCGCTCGATGATGCGGTGGCCGCAGCTGTCACGGCATGGCGAGCAGCTTCGGAGGAGACCAAGGCGGCGGCTGTTACGGCGAAGCGCACGGCGCTCCGGGACCGCAGGAGGCAGCTTCGACAATGGGAGCGCCACTTTTGGAAAGGGGTGGGGGAACGAGCCTCCGCGGCCTCTGGTTGTGGTGATCAGGGTGAACTTTTTCGTCTTTTTCGTGAACTGCGCCTCCGTAGAGGCGACAGGGGAGATTCTGGCCGATGGTCCTCCGAGCGGGCGGAACAGGAGCGGGAACTGTGGAAGGCACATTTCGCGGCCATCTCCGGGGACGTGGGTGTCGTTCCGGAGCATGTGTGGAGAAGTGTCCCGGAGGTCCCTGTATGGGCTCTGTGGCTGGATTCCCCTCCTACGATTACCGAGTTGGAAGCGTGCATCCGAAAAATGCAAACTGGCCGCCAGCCTGGGGATGACGGGTTCGTGGCGGAGGCCCGCAAGTACGGGGGCGAGGCCTTGCAGTCAGCAGTCTTTGAGATTGTCAGGACCATGTGGACACGTGCCACACAGGCGGATCCGGGGGAGGAGGGAGTTGCTTGGCCGGACGAGTGGCAGGTGGGCCTCGTCGTGCCACTGTGGAAAAATAAGGGCAACCGTAAGGACAAGAACACGTGGCGAGTCATCACGCTCTTGTCAGTTGGGTCCAAGTTGGTGGCACGTGTGGTCGCCTCCCGACTCTCCCAATGGTCTGAAGGCTTCCTGGGGGAGGAACAATCGGGGTTTCGCCGGGGTCAAGGTACCGACGATGCTCTCCAGGTGACTCGTCGCTTGATCGAGGAAGCAGCCACGTTGCGGACGGGGGAAATCGTCGCACTTACGTTCTTTGATATCGAGAAAGCGTACCCCAGAGTGTGTCGTCCTGCATTATGGCGGCTGTTGGAGAGGCGCGGGTGCCCCCCGGGATTCCTCCGGGTCTGCAAGGCCTTGCATGAACACACGGGATACCGCGTGCGTGTCCTGGGAGGGCTGTTCACTGCGTGGTTCCCTATGAGGGGCCTCAGGGAAGGATGCCCCTCTAGCCCTCCTCTTTTCAACATATCTCACGATGCTGTTCTTAAGGACTACCGTGGCCGAAGGAAGCGGGCGGCCGAAGCGATGGGGGCTACTCTGGGAGTGCCGTGGACCTATTTGGTAGACGGTCGATTGGGCAAAAGCGCCCGTACTCACTCGGTCCCAGGGAGGCGGTGAGGGAGGCTGGGCTTCCCGGCAAAAGCATACAGTGATTGGAGACGTTGGCTTTGCCGACGACACGGCGTTTGTGGGTTTTCTGGAAGAAATGCAAGCCGCTGAGCCGCTCCTGGAGAGGACCATGACGGACTGGGAGGAAAAGAGCAACCCCGGTAAGAAGGAGCGGCTTTTGATTATTGGCAAGGGGCGCGCGCCCTATGACGTCAGACGACAGTACGAGGTGGCGTCATTGAGACACCTTGGAGGGATACACCACGACACCGGCCGATGGGCGACGGATACCACGAAACGTGTCCAATTTGGCAACACTCTGGCCCGATCAATTGCCAAAGCGTGGGCGGTGGGCACGGCGCACGGCCGCGGCCGCGGCAGCGGAGTGTCCATTACGACCAGGCTTCAAGTGATGCACACTTGCATGGTGGCCGCAGTTACCTTTGGTTGTCGTTCACGCACGTGGACCAGGCAGGATTTTGGTCGGCTTCAGAGGGTTGTCAATTATGCGGTCCGCCGGTCGTTTGGCATGGACATCGTGATAACGAGGGAACATCACATATCGGATGCTGCCATGTAGAAGGCATCGCAGTGGCGCCCAGTGGAAGATATGATCACCCGCCTATCTCTGCAATGGCTTGGACATGTCGCCCGCATGCCCGTGTGGCGTATCCCCAAACAGGTGCTTTTTGGTGGGCTGGATGCCAGAAGAGGCGCCGAGGATCACAGTGGCCCCCACGCACAGTCCGCATTCCTTCGGCGCGGCTTGCGCCGCCTCGAAGTCCACGAGATGGACTGGTTCCGCTGGGCCGTGAAACGGCGGAAACGCACGATCGATAAGGAGGAGGACGAGGAGGAGGAGGAGGAGGACGACGACGACGAGGAGGAGGAGGAGGAAGGACGAGGAGGAGGAGGAGGAGGAGGAGGAGGAGGACGAGGAGGAGGAGGAGGAAGGGCTGGAAACGCACGATCGATAAGGCGTTTCCCCGGGCCGTGACCACAGCGGAACACAAACGTATAGTGTGGACCGCTGGACTCCTGGTTTGGCGCTCCCAGTGCCGCCCGCCGTGGCCGCCCCGGCCGTTCCTCCTCCCTTTCCTCCCCCTTTTTCCTCCCCCTCCCCCTCCGGCTCCCCCTTTTCCTCTCCCTTTTCCTCCCCCTCCCCCTGTTCCTCCCCCTCCCCCTCCTCCTCCCCCCTTTTCCTCCCCCTTTCCTCCCCCTCCCCCTTTTCCTCCCCCTCCCCCTCCCCCTTTTCCTCCCCCTTTTCCTCCCCCTCCCCCTTTTCCTCCCCCTCCCCCTTTGCCTCCCCCTCCCCCTCTGGCGGGCGGCAACGGGTATTGCTGCCCTGTGTGCCGTCGGGCGTTCTCAAAGGGCAACCAGATGCAGTACCATTACGACGAGGCGCATTCGGTCCGCGACCCCCACCTTGTCACGAGCATCTCCCATCAGTGCCCAGATTGCTAGGAGTTTTTGGGCTGCGACGTGCGTCGCCACAAGCGAACCTGTCCAGCTCGGCTCGAGCTCCGGGAGGCTCTACAGACACAGGCTGGTAGCTGGCTCCCTGTAGCAGTGGGTCCGCACCCCCCGGAGCCGTCCTCGTGGTGGGCGGCGACGGACCCAGACCCCCGACGTAATGAATTTTTCATTACGTCGACCCCAGAGTTCTCGACCCCTTCCCCAGGACCGGTTTGTCATCCGGAGTCGTTTGTCGACGCTCCCGAGGCCCGGTGCGGGCCCCCGGAGGCCAAAAATTGCGAAAACCCCCCCCTCATGATTTTTTCATTACTCGAGGGGGTCTGGGGATGGATCGGGCCAGGATGGGGAAGCGGGCTGGGGAGTCGTGCTGTGGCGGGTTACGGACCCGGGTCTGCCCGGGACGGTCCCGGACTACGTACTCCATGCTCCCGTGGTGAGCAGGGCGTGGGACCACGGGTGGTTGGGCGCCAGGTGCCAGACAAACAGCACCGCGGAGCTGTCAGCAGTAGGTGAGCTGATGCTTTGGCTGCTGGAGGAAGCCCCAGACGGCGGACGCGTAGCCGTGCACGCTCGGTGTGATTCCGAGCACGCGGCAAACGTAGCGCGAGGCCTGTGGGAGCCCAAGTCAAACGAGGAACCTGCAGAGTCGGTGCAGACGCTCACTGAGAAGGTGGCCGAAAAGCGCACAATCACGTGGGAGCACGTGTACGGGCACACGGGGGCTCACGACAACGAGCTTGCAGACCGAGCGGCGGACCTGGGCGCTCGAGGGTATGCGTCCGTGCAATCAGCCAGGTGGATGTCGGCTCCCCCTGCTATCGCTGAGTTGCATTGGAAGGATGTGGACTATTGCAAAAAGTGTGGTTTGAAGGTGCTCACCAAAGATCTGTATGGCCACATCCGTCGGTGCACAGTAGCCGGTTTCGCGATAACGGCCGGCATGGAGAGAGTGTCGGAAGTGCCTCACTTCTGTTAAGGAACAATGCCGCACCACACATGAGACCAAATGCAGGGGCAGCGACATTTTGAATCGTACGTGTCGTAAGTGTGGGCTCGTCGTTCCGCCCCCTCCGCCGGGGCAGCTTTGCTGGCCGCTGGGCAACCACGAGAAATGGTGCCAGGGGACTGCTGCTGCGAAGGCAAAGGCCAAGGCAGTTGCGGCGGCGGCGGCTGCCCCGGGGGCGGCCCCTGTGCCCCCCCCCGCCGGTGGTGGTAGGCGTCGCTAAACCAAAGGCGCAACCTCAGGCAAAACCGAAGGCGGGGGCGGGTGCGAAGGCGGGCCCCCGCGGGAAGGCGGGCGCAGCCCAGGCAGCTGGCAAAGCCCGGGGGGCGGACGCCGAGGCCAAGGCAGCTCAGAGGCTGGGCGGAGTGGTCCAGAGACGCCCGGCTGGCCCAGCCCGGCAGGAACCTGCGTTTGCTTGCTTTTTGTTGGGGGTGGGGAGGGGGGCTCGGGTGCAGGGCGTGTGGGTTGTGGGTGGTGCCCGGCCAAAGGTGGTTGTGCTGTGTTTCTGCGTTTCTCGCCTGCAGCTGTCGGCGGCGCCCCCGAGGCGATCCGTCACGAGCTGATGCAGGCCCCGTGCCTTGCATCGGGGGCGGCTCGGGTAGGGTTCGCCCTGCCCTCTCTGTGCCAAGCGAGCCTCGGGCTCGCCGTAGCCGCCCCCGGCCCCACTGCAGGGGGGCCAACCAACGGTCGGTGTGCCGCCTGCCGCCTGCATGCCCAGCGCCCGCTGTTGTTTTCTTTTGCTGGTCTTTGTGCTGCGCCTGCTCGTGCCCCTGCGCTTATGCGATGTTTTTGTTTGTCCTTGGACCGCTACTCTCGGACCGTCGTTCGCAGCCAAAAAAAAGGAGGAGGAAGGGCTCCACCTCCCCCCCCTGCCTGCCCTGTCCCCCTTCCCCCTCCCCCTCCTCTTCCCTCCCTCCTCCCCCTCCTTCCTCTCCCCCCCTCCCGCTCCGCCCTCCCTCTCCCCTCCTCGGATCCCTTCCTCGCGTGCACGCGATGCTCGGCGCTCGCCGATCCCGACGGCTGCTCACGGCTGCCCCCCTCCCAGCGCACCAGATAGCGCCCGAAGGCCGTTCGACGCCCCGTGTCTCGGGGTCCCTGCGGGGTGGTTTTGGGGGGGCGGGGGGGGGGGGCGGGGCTAGAAACCGTCGCTTGGGGGTGGGGTGGGGTGGGGGCGGCGGGGACCCTCGTGGGCAGGGTGTGTCGGGAGGTCATCGGGCAGGCCCTCCGTTGGTCCACCGACGGTCCTGCAGTGTGTCTGTCTGTGGTGATTATGGCCGCTGCGCGCAGGGCCGAGACCGACCGCCGCCTTCAGAGCCTGGAGGAGCGCCAGGCGATCACGGAGGATCGTCTGGCGCGGGTGGCCGGCCAGGTCGAGGAGATCGCGCGGTCCACGAGCTGAGTGCTCGAAGGCTTCCCTTCGGTGGAAGAGGCCCGGCTGGCGCACGGAGAGGCGGCGCAGTACCGCGAGTTGCGGGAGGCGGTGCCGGACGCGATCGGGAAGGACCTGGCCACGCACCTGTCGGTGCCCTGGCCCTTGCCTGCCCTGGACGCCGCGGTGCCCGCCGGTGGGTTCTCGGCGGAGACGTCGTGGGTGCGGTCTGTGTTGGAGGAGCTCAGGCAGCAGGGCACGGTCAAGGCGGTGTACTCGCAGAGCAGGTGGGATGACGCTGCCCAGAACAGGGTCAGGATCCCAGGTGTCTTCCGTGTGAAGCTCCGCTTCGGGGCGTCCTCCCTGGGCGTGCAGCAGGCCGTGGCGGCCCTGGACCACCCCCTGCGCAGGGCGTCCGGCCTGCCAGTCGTCGGCGTGGCCCCGATGGCGGTGGACCCCCCGCCCGCGCGCAGGCTCCTGTACTTGGAGCGGACGGAGCAGGAGCGCCAGCGGGCCTGGCAGGCCAAGGGGAAGGCCCAGGGCAAGGCGCAGAGCAAGGCGCAGGGCAAGGGCAAGGGCCGGAAGGGCAAGGGCTGGAAGGGCAAGGGCCAGAAGGGCAAGGGCGTCGGCGGGTCCGGTGTCCTGCAGGCCGGCAGGGGCGGCCAGGGCGGCAAGGGCGCCCCGGGGGCGGCGCCCCCGGCGGGTGGGGCCCCCCCGGCCGCCGCCCCGGCTGCTGCCGCTGCCGCAGCAGGGGGGGCGGCGGCCGCGCCGGCCGGGGCGCTCGCGCCTGGCGCGGCAGCGGCGGGGGCGCCCCCCGCGCCCTGGAGGCGGCCGGCGGCCGCGTCCGCCGCGGACGCCTAGTGGCGACGGCCTGTGCCCGCCCCTGGATACAGGGGCCCCGCGGGGGCGGGTAGGCTAGCGGGGGGGCCATGCATGTCAGCTGGAATTCGCGGCTTGGCCGCTCAGGACCAGCGCCTCTCTGTTTGTGTCGTGGTGATCCATATCTGTCATCCTTTAAGGAGGACTGAGGGGAGGGAAGGAGGGAGGATGTTGTTTTTTCTCCTGTGCTTTGTGTTGACATTAAAAACGGAAGCCTCCATCGTCCCCACCATGCCCATCCTCTCACACATCGCTGGCTGGTTGCTTGGTGATGCATTGTCCGCCTGTCATTGCGGATGAAGATGGGGGAGGGAAGAGGGGTAGGTGTTCCTTTTGTTTGTCTTCCCCCGGGAGGGAAAACGGAGGCCTCCACCGCCCCCTCCACGCCCTCTCACAGGTGGTGGTGCGATCTGCTGCGAGATCACTACCCCTTCCCGGCCTCATCGTTCCTCCCCCTTTCCTCTCCTCCCCCCCCGGCCTCCGGCGACACCCCCGGAAGTGCCCCCTCCTCGCCCGTCGTCGTCGTCCTCCCCCTCCGGCTTAGGATTTTTTGAAGGTCTACCAGCCCGCCCCGCGGTCGCTCGTGGCGGCCAACACGCGGGAGACGGAGACGGAGACGGAAAGAGGAGGCGGGGAAGGAGGATGAGGAGGATCAGGAGGAGGAGGAGGAGGAGGATCAGGAGGAGGAGGAGGAGGAGGAGGAGGAGGAGGAGGAGGAGGAGGGAGGGTGGCAGCGTCCGTACCACTTTCATGCCATCAGTGTCTCAGTGTCTCAGGAGGAAGGAGAGGGGGATGGGAGAGAAGGAGGAGGGAAAAACATGAGGGAAGAGAAAGAGGATGAAGGATGGGAGGCAAGAGACGGGGAGGATGGGGAAGGGAAGACGTCGTCGCACTTTTCCTCCAACTCCATCGGTATCATCCACCCCCAACTCCTAAGTAATCTGAAGAGAAGGATCAGCAGAGCACCGGGCTGTTCCCCCTGACTTTGTCGGGATCGCCTCTCGCCGCAAGGACCTCAGACATGCCGACTGTGACGAACCCCAGTTCGACGGCTCGTATCGGACATATCAAATCCTTTGGGCCCCGGGTCTCAGAGCGACTTCGACGCCGCTGATGAGCAGACGGCCGAGCGGACTCTCGGCTCACCTGTGCGAGTCCCTCCTCCCCTCCTGCCCCGCCCCCCGCCCCTTCACCCCCCCGTCGCTCACGCCCTGGGCGCCCACAGACGAGCAGGCGGCGAAGTGGGCGTTCGGTCCTTCCGCCCTGCCCCCTCCCCGCCCCCACTAGGAAGGCACCAACTATACACCAACACCGATCCTGGCCAGGATCACCCTGGGCCCAGGATCGGTGTGTACGCCCTCCTGCCTTGCGCAAGAAGGCATATACACCGATCATGGGCCCAGGGCGATCCTGGGCCAGGATCGGTGTTGGTGTATACTTGGTGCCCTCCGACGCACGTGGCCGACTCCAAAAGCCTTGGATCCAAAAGTGCCGACGCCTCACTCCTCGCTCCTGCCTCGGCGCCGAGTGCCGCCGAGCATCCGCCGGATCGGAGGAGGAGGAGGAGGAGGAGGAGGAGGAGGAGGAGGAGGAGATCCGTAGCCATTTTGGCTCAAGTCCGTAGCGTTTCGCTCAGGGACCGAAGCCTTTTTGGCGTGGGGGAGGCGCGCCCCTGCCAGTGATCCTGCGATCTTTCTCTTTCACTCACAGCCACACTTCTGGCTACGGTAAGCTCTGCGGCCGTCAGTTCCCATGGGGCGCAATGGCGGCAGCAGGCAGCAGGCGTTCAGCACCACCTGGACGTGCTGTAACAAGAAATGCGGTTTCGACAACAACTTTCCTTGGCGTACAACGTGCTGGGCGTGTGGCAAGGCCAAAGGTGCGGGCCCCGCACCTTCGGTGCCGCGCCCTCCTGCTGGCGCTTGGGTGCGTCCTCCTCGGCTGCAGCCACAGGGAGGCTCACCTAGTGCTGGACAAGGGCCTGGTGCAGTCGGCGGCAAGCTCACCCCTGAGCGCAGGGACGCCATGCTCGCCATGTCTGCCGAGCATTTCGAGGCCTGCAGCATTTGGCTCTCGCCTGGTCAGAAGGCGCACCTGCTGGGGCTGCGAGCTGTGCAGACGGGCGACCCGCTGGCCCTCAGTCGCCAGGCCAAGCAGCAGCACGACACGCTCAAGGATCAGGTCGCCAAGGCCAAGAACGCCTGGGAGAAGTCTCAGGAGGTGCTGGCCAAGCAGCTGCAGAAGACCGCGGAGCTCAAGGCGAAGTTCGTGGAGCTCGAGGCCAAGGAGCTCGAGGCGGCCCGCGCCGCCGCCAGCGCCTTCACCGAGCTTGGGCGTGCCGCCAGGCCTCAGCCTGCTGACCATGCTGCGCACCTTGTGGAGCAGCTGCGGGAGCTGGGGGTCGAGGCGAGCGTGGTCGACTCGATCAAGCAGGTCGCGGAGGCACGCCAGAAGGCTAAGAAGGACGAGGAGGAAGCGGCTGCTGCAAAAGCCCGTGCTGAGGCGGCAGATCGTGCTCATGAACGTACTGCTGCTGATGGCGCTGCTGCTGCTCCCAGTGATGCTGCAGGCGATCACGACCTGGACATGGACGCGGCCATCGGCAACCTCAAGCAGGGCGACTGGATGGACAAGCTCGTCAGCTCTGCAGGTGAGAGCGGCATCACCCGATCGCAGCTGGAGGCTGCGCTCGATGAGGCCGGTGCTGATTACAAACGGAAGCGCGTTTAGCTGTGCGGCTAGATGCGCCCTGGGGCCTAAGGCCCCGAAGTTTTGGAATATTATCTCTGCCAATGTCACTGATCGCTCTGGGCTTGACATTTTCCTCTCCTCCCCTTCTGTGCTCCAGGCTCAGCTTGTCGGTGTGCAGGAAACGCGGGTGTTGGAGGTTGAAGCTTGTGAGCATAAACTCAGGCGGCAAGGGTGGAGAGCTAAACTTTCGCCAGCCCGTCAGACGGCTGGAGGCGGTATTTCTGCTGGCACGATGCTCGCTGTGCCAAAGCATATCGGCCTGGCGCCGATTGAGAGCTTTCCGATCGACGTGCAGGTGGGGAGGATGATGGTGATGCATGTGGGAGGTCTCGTACCAGGGGGTTTCCTTGCGTGCACGCTTTATCTGCATCATTCTGTCGGACTTGCGCCAGCCAACTGGGATCTTCTCTGCAGGCTAGGTGCGTTGCTGAAAATGGCCAACATGCCTTTCCTCATCTTCGGGGACTTTAATCTCGAGCCTGACGTGCTCCAGCATTCAGGCTGGGTTGATGCTATTGACGGTGTTGCCATATACACGGATGCTGGAACATGTGCGCCAGCACACAGGACCATCGATTTCTTCGTTGTCTCCCAGGCGTTTGCGGTGAACGCCTCGGTTTCATTGCTGGCAGAAGTGGCGATCACCCCGCATATTCCAGTAAATTTGAAGCTACCCACCTTGGACACCGTACCCTCGGTGCGCATGGCTATGGTTCCCCGCAGGTTCCCCAGGGAGTTGCCCACTGGTTGCCGTGGAGAGCCCAACGTAGCCAGGTGGGAGGTGGCGTCGGAGATGATGAGCAATGACAGCATATCTAAGTCGTGGCAAGTTTTTGTTTCGGCTGCTGAGCTTGAATGGTTAGAGGTGTTTCAGATTCCTCCTGAACTTTCGAAGCCTTACCTTGGGCGCGGTGGTGATGTTCGAACTGGGTGGTGTCGACCGAGCCGGCCTGCTCCAGTCCCTTTTCCGCGTCTGAGCCCTCGAGCCGTGTGGTGGAGAGCCTTGGCACAGGTCCTCAAGACCCTCACGAGGCCCATCAGCACTGCCCAGACTAAGCAGGTACTTTGCAGGATCCGTCATCTTCAGAGTTCGCCTGATGTTCCAGATTCGAAGCTCGCGGTTTGTTTCCTGGAGGCCCTGGATCGTTTTCGCGTCTTCGATTACGTAGTTATGGACTATTTCGCCACCGTCGCCAGCGACACTGCCGAGCGCCTGCACAAGCAGGCGACCCAGCTGAAGATAGTCAACTGGGACCGATGGGTAAAAACGCACTCGGTAGGTGGGGCGGCGGCGCTCTTCAAATATGTGCAGCTGCCAGACCCTTGGCAGCCGTCCACCCTTGACTCTTTCACCCTCCGACCCAACACCAGCATGGGGGAAATGGAAGAGCTTGAAAGGGAGTGGAGCAAGTGGTGGCAGGTGGGGGTCGCGCAGCCCCCTGTGCACTGGCCTGAGGATCTCGGAGAGCGCCCGCCTCCCCCCACGGTCCCAGAGCTCAAGAAAGTGTTGATGTCCTTCCCGCTAGGCACTGGTTGTGGATACGACCAGGTCCCGCCTAGGAGTTTTCTGCACTTGCCCGACATTGCGCTCGAGCTTTTGTGCGGCCTCATCGGGATGATTGAGGAGCAGGCGGACTGGCCCCCCCTCACGAACAAGATTGGTTTTATTCTCAAAAGACTGGGAGGGGTCCGACCCCTGGGGCTGTTACACGTTCTCTGTCGGGTGCAATCCAGGTTGAGAAGGCCTTTGATCAGGCAATGGCAAGACAAGAACTATCGGAGTTTCTGGTGGGGCACCAAAGGGAAAAGCGCTGACATGT